TAGACATATAATCACCATCGGCCATTTCGGTAGTATGTAGATACTGGATGTCAATAGCATCTGCCGGGTGTTTCCACTCTTTATATTGCAATGGTCTATCATATGTTGTGCCTTGAAGCTCAACATTACCATTATTCACTATTTCGTGTAATTTTTTAAGTTGAGCTATCTTTATTCCTATAGGCATTATATTCGCAACAACACAAGCCGCTTCATATGAAATGGTATGATACCCTTTAATCATCCTTATTGCCATGATTCTTTGCACTCGCTGCAGTTTTGCCATTATTTTCTTATTATTTATAACTGAATCAGCCCACACAGGCGAAGCATAGGCAATCCTCGGAACCACTGCACCATCATACATCAATCTAAGGGCCTCGGAGTTTAGTCCCCAGCTTACTTTTTCTGATTTTGAAAGAGCATTGACTAACTTAATAGTATCGTCAGTTTTCTCTTGTATATAAGAATCCCATGTTAATTTACTACTAATAATAACTCCTAAATATTTAAGCTGTTTAACTATCTCTCTTACTGTTATTCTTTAGTTAAAAGTTAATTAATCAAAACATGACCAAATTATCTTCTAGTTCTAACCTCAAGAGAGTCCTGTATAGAAATAAAAATAGAAGTTAGAAGACGTTAGTTTGTACCTGATTTTCGTATTAAAGTAAGGATACTTCCAAAAAAACAATGTACAGGGTGAATTGCTACTCGTGCTACAAACTTGACCAGTAGATTCTTGACCCTAAAATGAACAAAAAAGTTCATATTGTCCATGGTCCGATTCTCAACCATTTCAGAGTAATTTCGCTTTTTATCGATTTTGAAAGATATCACGTCCTGGCGTCGGAAAATCGTGATATCTTTTAATCTAAACATTTCTCTTAAAATCTATAAGCACCGTTGAAATCCCCGTTAATTTTTCAATAAGAAGATGAAGGTGGCAAAACGTTTGGGTCTTTCTTCCTTGACCTTCTAGCTGTTTGTAAACTTCTTAAGCATTACATACTAAATGGGCATTAAATTAAATTAAAAAATTTCAATGGAATTATGATTTTGATTCTCTCTAAAAATTAACGGGGATTTCAACGGTGCTTATAGATTTTAAGAGAAATGTTTAGATTAAAAGATATCACGATTTTCCGACGCCAGGACGTGATATCTTTCAAAATCGATAAAAAGCGAAATTACTCTGAAATGGTTGAGAATCGGACCATGGTCAATATGAACTTTTTTGTTCATTTTAGGGTCAAGAATCTACTGGTGAAGTTTGTAGCACGAGTAGCAAGTCACTCTCAAACATTAGCAATCCTTGAACCACCATTTTTTCTCTTTTTGTCATCAACATCTTGGTCTCACAACCACTAAATAAGAAAATGACGAGTGCGTTGGAAGCGTTATTAAATCAGGTAGTTTTCCTCAAATTTGCTGCCTTCTGAGACTAAAATTAGAAACTCTGGATTACTTTATACACTTTCCGATTTACACAATTTTCCACTCTTTTTGTAGTTCTGGCTGAAATAAAACACAAAAAATTAGCCCAAACATTTTGCCACCGTCATCTTCTTATTGAAAAATTAACGGGAATTTCAACGGTGCTATTAGATTTTCAGAGAAATGTTTAGATTAAAAGATATCACGATTTTCCGACGCCAGGACGTGATATCTTTCAAAATCGATAAAAAGCGAAATTACTCTGAAATGGTTGAGAATCGGACCATGGACAATATGAACTTTTTTGTTCATTTTAGGGTGAAGAATCTACTGGAGAAGTTTGTAGCACGAGTAGCAATTCACCCTGTATATGAGGTTTGAATTGGTTCGATAATTTTTTTCAAAAAGTTGAAGGATAGAGACGATTTGTGTTACGCGTCTTAAGTTATTTGTAGTGTTGGTTGAAATGAAAAAGCTAGTGTCACGACGGGATTCGAACCAACGACCTTCGGCTAAATACGCCGCTGCACTACCACTTGAGCTATCGTGACTTTGATCCACTAGGACACCAACCTCCCACTTCAACTTCGAAAGTTAGGTGTCCGAGTGGATTGATGTCGCGATAGCTCAAGTGGTAAAGCAGCGGCATATTTAGCCGAAGGTCGTGGGTTCGAATCCCGCTCATGACACTTGTTCGTTTCAACCACTACCTTACATAAAGATTAATTAATCAAAAGAAGTTATTTGGTCAATCGGACCAAGAATTATAATGGCGTTATTTGTAGAGTCTCTTGTAATGGATATCTTGCCAAATACATTGGCCAGACTATGCAGAAGTTAAAAAATAGTGCATACTATTTATAATTTAAAAAGTATATTTTAATTCATATAGCTTATTAAAGAAATAATGCCGTACACGATTCATTGTAGATTTTTGTTGATACGGTTAGTATGAGAGATTCTAGTTGTTTTTAAAGCTTATGTTCAATTTTGTTAGCAGTACTAAATGAACATCTCGGTGAATGAACATTTGTTTTTTTAATAAAAAATCCAGGTTCAATTGTTCATAGTTGTTAACCAGTTTAATTACCAGTGCCAACAAAGGGGCCATACCGTTTTCAAGTTTAGTTGAAGGATGGTTGTTATGTGAACTAGAAATGGAACATTCTAATGTCAGAAAGGGTCGCAGGAGTCTAGTCGGTCACCTGACTTACACAGGATCCACATTACCCCACCCTCCACCCGAACTAATTTCAACAAGGGGCTTCACAAAACTCATCAGACTTAGCAATTATAATTCGCAATGAATAAATCTCAAAGTGACCTCCGCCCTTCAACAAAGCCGGTCGCAAAAGTCTTATTCAATTTACAACTTTCACAGTAAAATAAATTCAACCGAGTTAGTGAAGAAGTCGGGTAAAGTCTTCTTACTACGGGAACCTCCCCCGCCCGCCGCGCTGGGTCACCTTTTATTTAGCATCGCATTTCACAAGCCACTCTTCAGAATAATTGTTTAGATCTTTAAATAAAATCTCATATCAAAAGGGAAAATTGTAAATTCAAGATTCAAATTAGTCTAAAATTGTTCTACTTCTTAGCGTTTATGTATTTGTTTTTCTTTTTGTTCTAGTGGCTGTCATTTTCTTTGTTTTGCTGACATCAATTTTGGCCTTTCTATTGCAAAAATCAACAAAAGATTCACTTATAACCTATATACAATCATACTTGTATTTTAGCCCTAGTTAATATATAATATAATATAAGCAAAAATTACAAAATTAAACATAAAACATATCTGACAAAACTTCTTAAAATATTTTCCTAGCAATGATTTGCATTATAATTATAATACTAAAAACTATACAAAAATTTCAATATTTAATAGTCTCAATTTTTAAGAATTAGAAAACACGTAAATGTTGTCATTTTTGAGTGTAATTAAAATAATTAAATTTTGCATTATCGTTGTAATCATTACTCATATCATTAAGTTTATTTATGTTGTAAAAGCAGTATGAGCATCTCTCTCTCTCTCTCTCTCTCTCTCTCTCTCTATCTATCTATCTATCTCTCTCTCTCTATCTATCTATCTATCTATCTATCTATCTATCTATCTACCTACCTATCTATCTCCCTTCCCTTTTTGCTCCTTCTCCCCTCTCGTCTATTTTATTGGCTTCCAATATGAGTTTGTAGTTACAATTATAAACTACCAATCCTCAGAGATATCGGATAAGCGAAGGCGATTAATCTTAAACTTTGAAGTATCGATTGTGGCTTTGGTTATGGTAAATGTTTACCTTAAGTGTTCCCATGTCAGTTGCTACGGTTATTCTGTACTGACCCTTGAGGGGGTAATTGTGAAACTGGGTGACTAAGGTGAAGTATTGTTCCTAGCTGAACACAAAGTTATGAGCTAACAACCAATATTTTACATAATAAAGCCTTGTAACACAATGGGTGTGGTCTGTATCTCATTATGAACAGTGAAAATCATATTTTGAAATTAGAGAGTGAGAGAGAATTAAAATTTCAACGTTTCATACTTTACAAAATATATGATTAGTTTGGAATACTATTTTCTAAACTGACATGTCAATACTTCAGGTAGAAGAGATTTTTTGAAAAGCACTCTAACGAAACGTAACGACCTATAAACGCTAGCCGATATTCAATTTTTTCGATATCGCACAGCTCAGTAGAGATAAGTTTATAAATCTTACTTAATAAAGTATTAGATAAGTTTTCTAAATATCATATAAAACTCGCTTTTAAAATTTTATCTACAGTAGCCACCATGTTGCAACGCGTTTAGTGATCAAGTGAGACTGTATTTCATGCTGGCCCTATGTTAATTTTCTTAATCAAATTGTTATTTCATAAATGTTTTTGACGCTACCTTTCTAAAAATATTTCACAAGGCTTCAAATATTAAATTGTCACTGGACCTTTTAAAACGAAATATAATCGTTAATATGTACGGTCAAGTGTCCGTATACACAGAAGTTATAGTACTATTTTTAATCATTTCCGAAAAATAGATTTAAAAGTTAATTGAGCATGAAAGCACGTTGAAGATAAAATAGAAACTTTTCTAGAAGAAAAAGGTCTCAGACGCTTTTGAATATCAAGTTTCTTTCGATACAAAATAAATCGATAGGGAATCGCTTTGGGTCACTTTAATAAGTTATTATGCACTCCCCGACTAGCTTTTAGTTTAACGAGATAGAAAGGACTTCCTTGTACTCCATCCAAAAGTTTTTATTAAATTACAGTCCGGCCTTTCTAACGAGTAAGCTTTTATCCACTTAATTCTCTTTCTTGTACAATTTGCACAGAACCGCAGCTTTCCCTTTGATGTACGGAACTAAAATGAAATCGTACTTGCCTTCGGTCAGCCTCAATCAAATTACTTTTTCATTGCTTTATCAAAAAATGGGTTAAAGTCTCAATTGAATGGTAAAAGGAACGTGAAATATTTACAGATGTGTCTGTGTGCGTTGAACTTTTGTGCCTTTCTACTTTAATCATTCATTCCAACACCAACTTTTTTTTGTCTTCAGGCTCACAACCGACTTGTCGCTGATCTCGACTTGATGAAGTTCGAAGTCGAAGAGACGCAGAGCTTCGCAAACGAAGTGGCAACCGCCATTGGGAAATTAAAAGAAAAAGACATAAGGATAGTTTTAGGAAACTTCAACGAGTCATGGGCACGACACGTCTTTTGCGAAGCGCACAGGTATGAATAACTAAACACAATTTTGAGTTTACGCATAAATATTTTTAAAACATCTACAAAAGTTTAAATTAGTATATTACTTATGTGAATGTTTACATTATTGAAAAAAAATTTGTTTCAATTATGTTTGATTGGTTTAAATACTCAGATTTTAAATAATTGTTTTCTTTGATTTTGACAAGACATAAAACTTAGTACACCCATATGCTACTAACATGAATGATAATTTTCATTTCTTTTACATGTGCCCTATCCTTAATGAATTCTTCTTAGTAAAGTTTTCATTAGACAAAGTACAAGAGTTAAAAGTAAAATCAAATAAGAATTTATAGTAATATCAAAAATAATATTTTAAATTAATATCACTTTCAATTTAAAATAAAGACTTTCTGAACAAAAATTAATAAAAACTTCGTTCTTCAAACATAATGTAATTATAAAGTAAATATCCTCTAGAAGCACAGTTTGTGCACTAAATAAATTTTGACCTGAATACCATAGCACTCTCAATGACTTTCCAGTTTCTACCATTTAGAAAAGTAAGAAAATTATCACCTGAGACTGAATTCTTTGAAATATCTCAGTCTAATGACAGAAATTCTGGGACAAATGGCAGTAAAATGAAAGTATCCTCCTTGACTCGCTCAAATCCTACAGGACAGGATACAAATTCTTCCTCGTTAGACTTGATTTTCTCATAACACTTAGTGCTCAGGCTTGGAACATTGCCACGTGCTTTTAAAATGAATCGGATCTGTTTAAATTTTAGTGGTGCCAGAGATAAGAAGTTTAAATCAAAATGAAACTTTCTATACATTTTAAAACATTTCTTGTCATTGTCGATATACACATAAAGCATTAACTGTTTTCTTTTACAGTACCACGATGTTTTAAAACGGAACAGGCCAATCTTTAACATTATTTTTTCTAACATGCATCATATGTCGCCAAAAGTTTGGTGAGGTCTCTAAAGTATGATAATTTTTCGGCATCTGTGCACTCTCATAATTTTTAGTATATAGTCCAAATGCCATTTAATGAAGAAAAACACATCCCACAAAATCTAACGCGGTCCAGACTAAAAGGCGAAACAGCTTCTTTAAGACCTTCTTTAATTGGAACTTTTCAACAATGTCATACTGTTCAACACCCCTATCTTTCATCATTTTCATTTTAGCGAAAACGCTATTGAACATTCCACAAGGAGTTGTTTCCCAATTGTATTTTCACCTTCTCTTGCCTTGGCCATTTTCCTATCAAAAGCTTCTGGTAAAAAAGAGTGGGTGTTAGTGTTACTCCTAAGTACTGATTGGTAACTTAGATGCTTCTCATAGAACGTTTTCGTTTGATTCGAGTCTTCCCCATTTCTAAAAACCATAGCATTTGATTTACTTAAGTTGACAGACCCCAAGAGGCGACAAATGATTCTAACCAGTTTATCATGAATTGAAGTGCCAGAGGACTGGTCGCTAAACTGACTAAATCATTCATTAACGTTAATGGATTAAAAAAAGAAGCACTGGGGAAAACGTCGTTGACCTGCTGTGCGAAGATAAACGGTAGCTGGCAAACCTATTTAACTTCTGGAAATACCGGCGATTATTGGTTTGAGCAACTCAAATTTTGAAAATAATAATTAATTCAATGCCTATTTTATTTTATTTTTTAAACTTTCCTCCTTCAAATAAATTAACATAAATTGTTATATGTTATGTTCAACTGTGTAATGAACGATTATGTGGAGATAGTGAGGATGCGGTCTGGTGTGACGTGGTTTATAAAAACATTTTTTTTTATCGGTCCAACGTTTCGATCTTTATTGAGATCATCTTCAGGGCCTGGGATTTGTACATATTATTTAAATTACACAAATACATGTGGGGGGGGTCCGTGGACGCAACGGTTTAGGCTTGAAACGGCGCTAAAGTAAAGGTCCCCGGCTCGAATCCATCGGCCCTGCATTCGAACCCCACTCTTACAAATGGGCTTTTTTTCAAAAACACGGGCACCCGGAGGGTTGATATAACCTCTGCTGCTGCGAACCCTCGTAAAAAATAAATAAATATAAAAAATACATGTAGGATATGAAAAAATGAATTTATACAATGCTAGAAATTTAATACTCAATCAAGTATTTGTATTCACTCAAAGTGTTTGTTTTCTGTGTAGATGTGTCATTATTATGTGTCGTGTTAAGAGTGCCAGTGAGATATTGATGTTTTATGTTTATATACATTGAATTTTGAAGAGGTGTGGAAGGAATATAGTTTAAACAATGTTTACACATCCCAGGCTCTGAAGATGATCTCAATAAAGATCGAAACGTCGCATGATAAAGAAAGTGTTTTTCTACACCTACGTCACACCAGACGCATCTTTCCAAATAATCATTAATTAAAGATCACTAAACACCAAACATGTGTAATGAACTTTTTTGTTCTTTTTTCTTCTAGTTAGAAGGTTAGAGTTAGTTTTCAGCCACAGATGCTAATTAAATCGTAAAGGTGATTATTATGTAAATGCCAATGGAGTTGTTTTCCATAGAGATAATATAAAAATAAATGTAATGTTTCATGAATACAAAATTCCTATTACTACAAATAACATCGATTGGCGCTCCAATTTTAAATTACACCTTAGATTTTATGTCAGTTTTCTAACCAATATTATTCAATTTTAATTACATCAAATTTAAATTATACTATTGTTGCACGCTTTACGGTAATGGAAAATGGTTGTTCGATGGAAATAGTCTGGTGGTACGAAGTACATTTGGCTACAAATTTATTAACTACACTATCTAGATTTATTTTATTTACAAAATAATATACGCATTGCCTAGTGCATAGCTGTGCTTTATCAAAAATATGATAAATATGCTATCATTATTAATCGTTTCTGTCAAGGATAAGCGCTTATTTTAGTTATTACTCTAAATAACAGCCATACACTCATTTTATTCCACAGATTGCCTAACGTCGCAAGATATCCATATACCTCCATTTAATCCGTTTCTAATAATAATTAATTCAAGCTAAAGCAAGGCGGTTGTCCAGTGAAAAGCAATGAATTACAATGGGCGGAGCGAGACAACTGCAAGGGCAGTAATTATGTACAAACTTCAGTATTCCGCGAGCGGGTGCCATGAAAGACGAAGCAAGTTTCATTGAACCGTTTCTTTTCCCTTTTCCCGTAATTAATGGTTATATTTTTAATCGATTTCCTAAATATTAAACTTAAATAATAGCATTATCCGAATTTATGTTAAATAATAGACTATAAAATCTAAAGTTTTCATAACATAAACATCACAATTTTGAAACAATTGATATTTTCTTCAAAGTTACATACATTATACATACAACGTAGATACCAACCGTTAAAAAAGAATATTAATAGCTTTGAACAATTGATATTTGTATGCATTATTACATGTATTCTTCTATTTATTTATTGTAGTTATTTAAAAACGCATGAAATGTTGTCATATAACAATACATTTTACAATTAAAAACCCAATTATATTTATAAAAACAATATAATACCATACCTTGACCCAGCTTCTTGGTTCTTAGATCGAGGGACTCCGATTTTCGGCTCGTCTTCACAGACTTGGGCAGTGTATCGTGTGCACTATAGAGTTTACCTGCAGAATAGTACGGTTACTGCTATCCGTAACAAATTCTCCATAACAGGTCTCTCTCGTTGTGTTCTGGTTGGATAGATGAACATGAACATGATCTGGAACTTCTTCGTCATATCTTCAACGATAAACTTTCACAAGCCAGGAGGCTGTGCTCAACCCTAACCAACTATTTTAAAAAAAGTGGCAGTGTCGGTGGGCATAGAAGCTCTCATGTATCAAGGGTCGATAAGTGGCCATTGGAGAATCTGACTAGTAGAATGACCACCATCACCCAATTAAGGATAGGTTGAAAGTAAATGTATTTATTAGCGGGAATGTTGGATTATTGGTATGTACCTTCAATTAGGTTAGTTATACGATAGGTGTAAACGAAATGGAAGAAATATCAAGTTCTCTACCAACCTAACTGACTGACTGTCATGTAAATAGAAAAGAATGTATTTTAGAGTACATGAGTGAATGAATGAAACTGATTATGTTGGGTGCTGAAATGACTCGTTGGCTGGAGTTTTTACCCCAGACTGCCAACAACATTTTCGTTGATTCTCAGTACCTGCCGGTAATTTATTGCAAATTACACAACACCTGGAATGGCCGGCGAGCTGCGAAAAGTGATAGGCTCAGCACTGTACACGCATGTATAAATTTCAACCGTCTTGAATCGATGGACCAAAGGATTTAGAACAAATTTACAAAGCACTGAAAATATTGAAGGATTGAAATATCTCATAAATTTTATCATTTAGCATATTCCGTTCTGCTATTTTATCGAATGTTATTAAATTGGACAATGTGAATATAAATTAATCCTAAAACGAATCTTCTTTAGTCTTATTATCTACATTACCATCTGAGATATCATTACCTATGATTTTGTTTTAATGCTTAATGATTTCCATAATCTTTTTTCTTTTTTACGACGTTGGCAACAGCAGAGGTTATATCAACCCTCCGGTAGTGACGTGCGATAAAAATCGATATGAGTAAAGTATCGAATAATTTCTTTCGATAGCGAGTAATTTTGGTATCGAATGTTGTCATTCGATGCAAGTACTGTATCGAATACTTTTTGTACTATCGGAAAAAATACTCAAATAGATTTTTTGTCAGGTGTTCAAGCAATATTGAATTGTTATTTACCGTTCGAAACTTACCTCTCACCAAACTGGGAATTGACTAATTACTGTTAGTAATATGCGTACTAGTGGCATATATCAACAGAGTTAATCTTAATTTTTAATGGTGGTTGGTAACTCTGCTGATAATTCTGGTAACTCAGAATTCTTTCCCGCGTCTCACCTCGCACTTTCAATTTCAGAATTTCTTATAAAATGTTTTTGCTTTAAGTCCCTAA